AGCCACACCAAGCCTCCGAGCCTCGGGCAAGCGCGGGTAAGGGGAGCGGTGGGCGGGGCAAGCGCTGAGGTGGGGTGGGGGCGGGGCCAGCTCCGGAGCCCACCGGCTCTGGGCCTCTCTGGCCCCGCGACACACTCTGGCCATGCTGTAGCGCCGGGACCCAGCCCAAGGACATGGCCTGGAATCCCAGATTCAAGCTTTAACCCGGGCTGACTTTTCTAACCCTGTTTCCTTTGCACTTTTTAAAAACTAATAAAAACAAAATTGGCAAAGACATCAGATCAGCCCAACAGCGCTGGCATTGGAGATTTGATCACCAAATCATTGTTCTTTAAAGCCACCGAGAGGAGCACCCAGCACACACCTGGTCTACTGCTGCCTTAAGTCCCTCCACCCTCCCAAGGTGGGCCCCAGCCTCTTTCCCCTCCCACCCTGGTCTCCCTACACCACCTTTCCTAGGCCTGCACTTTGTTTATATTTATAAGCTCATGCCTCTTGCCTGGTGTGGTGCACAGCCCTGGAATCCCAGGGCTTGGAGGCTGAGTCAGGAGGATCACAATTTCAAATCCAGCCTGAAAAACTCAGCCACTTGGCCAGATCGTGTCTCAAGATAAAAAATAAATAAAAAGGGTTGGAGGTGTAGCTCAGAGAAAGGCCCAGGGTTCAAAGGCCCGGGTTTTCTAGCCCTGGTCCTGCAATAATCTCTTGACTAAACTCTCTTCTGGCCCAATTCACTGGGATAGGTTCTGACCCTTCTGTCAGGCCCAACTCCCAGAAAGCCTCCCCCACCCCAGCCCTGCAGCGTAAGACACAAGCAGGGTCTCCTTCGGAAGGAGAGGCAGGCCCCTTCCCAAAATGGGTGCCCAGCCTTGGTCTCCTGCCTCACCCAGCCTCTGGCCTTGCACGAAGCCGCCGTTCAGTGCACGCACATCTCTTTTCCTTCTTTCCAAAGAAAAGACAGAGACCAAACTTTTGGAGACACCTTCCCTCCCAGCAGCCCGCAGGCTGAGGCAGCCGCCCCTCCCCCACGCCGGAAAGCCTCCCGGCCCGCGAAGAGACACAGCCAGGGCGCACAGGGGCTCGGGGCCCGGGGGGGCGCACGGGGTCGAAGGCACTGCCAGGTCCCCATCGCCCGCCGAGCCCTGCCCGGGCCTTCACGGAGCACATGGGAGGCCGGGCCGCAGCTCCGGGGGCAACGTCGCAACCCCGTGCGCCAAGTCCCCAAAGTGGCGCGGGCCACCGAAGGCAGCTGAGGGGCATACCCAGCCGCGAGTTGGGGACTGGCAGTGTGTGTGTGGGGGTGGGGGGTCCTCATCCTCTGGCGCCGCCGCCGCGATAGCTGCTCCCGAGCAGCGCGAATCCCGAGGCCGGCTCCCGCGGTGCCGACACAAAGGGGAAGCACGCTTCACCTACCTGGTTCCTGCGCGCCCCGTGCTGGACGCAGATGCTGGCGCCCTCCGTTCTCCCTGGGTCCCTTCCGTCCCCGCCCTGCGCCCGGGAGCTGCCCGCGCGGGGAGCGGCGGCGGCTGCGCGTAAGGGGCGCGGGCGCGAGGCGCGGAGCCGGGCTGCTCGCCGGCGCCCCCTGCCTGGCAGAGCGTGGCCAGACGGCCTGGGGTCCCTGGGATTGAACCGAGTCACACAGGGCTGTAAGACGCGGGAAACCTAGACACCAACTGAAGATTGGCCCTGGATCCAACCCCAGGAAGCAAATAGTGTATCATTCAGCCTGAAAGGAACGGTGACCCCACCAGAACTGTCCGGACTCGAGGCTGCGTCCTAATCCACCCTACTCTGGCTCCTCTGGGAAGTTCCATGACCAGGAAAGGTGGACATTTAGAATCTGTTCAAGGCACCCACGACAGACGGCACAGCTAAAGACCCTCAGGAAAGAGGACTCCAGAGCTGTTGCAGAAAGTAGCAAGGATGATGGGATGAGCATGCTCAGAGTGAAGGGAATATTGAGAGGGGATTTGTGTGAATGTGTCTTTTACTGTAATTTTATTTATTTATTTGGTACAGGATCATCCTATGCAGCTCAGACTTATCTGTACCTCCTATCTCAGCCTCCCCAGTGCTGGGATAACAGGCATGTCCCACCACGTCACGTTTCAATAGCTGGCTGGAGCCGCATGTGGTGCCAGGGATCAAACCCCGATCCTTGCGCTTGCTAAGGAGACTCTTAGACCGCCAAGCTATCTCCCTGGCCCAAAATATTTTTCTTAAATTTAAATATTCACTGTAGTGTAAATCATACGTTAGATATAGAGCTCCTGGGAGGAAAGTAAATCTGATATCACTGGAAAACAGTAAGGACTTCACAGTGCTTGATATCCTTTGTCACTGGGCATGGTGGTGCTTACCTGTAAACCTAGCACTCAGGAGGCTGAAACGCCAGAGTCACTGTGAGTTTGAGGCCAGCCTGGGCTGCAAAGTGAGTTCAAGGTCAGTCTGGACTGTGTAATAAAACCCTATTTGAAAGAAAAAAAAAATTATCCTAAGACTTAACCTGGAAGAGTTGGGGTTTTGTCAGTTTTGTTTTGAGACAAGGTCTTGATATGCATTTCAGGCTGGTCTTGAACTCACAGCTTAAGTCCCCAGCCTCGGGGCATGCTGGGTGGGACAGCTGAGACCTTTGGAAGGGTACTTTACACAGCCCTACCCTGCTCCAGATCTCTCTTCAGAGCCCAGAAGTCTCCCTGTGCAGAGCAGGAGCAGATAGAAGGGAACCAGGGGTGCAGATGGCTGGTAAATGGGAAGGAGATCGTCAGGGGGAGGCAGGGAAAGGAAGGGGAAAATTATCAGTTCAGATGCATCTTGTCCGTGTGCCCACTCCCCACAATGGGTATAATCAATATGCCTTACAAATACAAACCACGAAAGATGTTTTAAAGAAAAAGCCAGTGGGGATGGGAAACCAGACAGGCTGCAGAGATAGCACCCTGGACCAAGCACAGAGTCAGAGCCAGAGTGACCGTGTCTGCTGGCACACAGCATTGGAAGGAGGGGCAGAGCTTGACCCCACACACATTGACCTCTTGCTTTTCTTGCCCTTGCTGACCTGGACCACACCAAAGAGTCACAGCCACCCACCATCCTACCAGACCTCGGCTTCCTTTCCAGCTGCTGATCCTCAGCTCACAAAGCCAAGGGGCCTGAATCCCTTAGGCTCCTCCCAGTGTACATGGATCTGGAGACGTGTGACAGTCTCCTGAGCCCACTCCTGCACACCCCTTGGACCACACACACCCAGTGGGCGCCATGCCCCATATGTGCCCCATGGAGAGTCAACCAGGAAGCGGGTCCGGGCATTTGTCAAATGCAGACTTCTACCAACTTGGCCTATCTGCATATGCCCTTCAGCTCCTCACCTACCCCTGAACAAAGGCTTATACCTAGCTGTCCCCCCCAAAGCCTCACACACTGGTATGCTGGGCTTTGGAGAAGCGGTTGGATCACAACGGCTGATTCTGATCCCCAGATTCATCCACAGCTGAGGTTCTAGCTGAGGTAATGTTGGGAGGCGCAGTGTAGCTAGAGGACTGGAGGATCAATCTCTGGGGGGCCTGGTCTGCCTCCTGCTCCGCTTGCCCCTCATTCTCTCACTTCCTGTGGGTCTGGTTGACCAGCTGCCTTATCTCTTCCTAGCTTTGGACACCGTCCCTGTCACACCTGAGCAGCAGAAGCACTGCCCTGGTGACATGCCCTGGGCTGTGGTGCCCTTCTCAGGCTCAGCTGTGGGAGAGGATTTTTCTAGAAGCACTGAATCTGACCATGTTGGGTTCCCAAGACACTGGCTTTCATTTCAGGACTAGGAAGGGTGTTGTCATCCTGTCCTCCCCTTCTGCCTTGCTTCTGGGTGGACTGGGGAAGTGAGAGGATGGATGTGATAACTTTGCTGACTGTTAAAGCGTAGTCGCCTCTGATGCCCATGGCCTGTAAAAGCACACAGTGGCTGTGAACCCAGCCACAGAGACTCCAGAGGACCAGACACCAAGAAACAAGGCACTGTACAAAAATACTTTAATATACCACAGCACATTGTTATACATTAGATGGATGCTGGAGAGAGCATCCTATACAGAAATACAGGCAGCTGCCTAAAAACTTAACCCTCATTAGACACTCAGAGCTCTCAGATCCTGCAACACTACTGATCTCTGTGTAATTGCCACTCCTTAAACAGAATCCATTGGACAGGAGAGTAGATATGAAATAAACTATTGATACCACAAACTTCATTGCCACTCTATTCAATTGGTTTTCTACTCTTTGCTTTCTTTTTTTTTTTTTTTCCTTCAGGGCCTTCAGGTTGAACGATATCCTCACTCATGTATTTATTTGTTTGTGCATTTATTTATTTTGTATTGAGCCAGGATCTAAGTCACGAAACTGCTCAGGTTGGGCCGAACGTAGAAATGCGGGACTGCACAGCGCCACACGTGGTTGACTGAATTTTTAGTCTATGTAACAATTACATTACAAATGCCAGTAAAAATAAACTAGAGCCCATTTAGTTCGATAATTCTGCCAAATAAACTCCCTTAAATTCAAACCTGAAAGAAGTAACAGTATATAAAGTAGAAAAACCTATCCTATTTTGCATAACACTCGAACCCATGCAAGTTGAGCTATAAAGCCTGAAAACTTGAGGTAGGGATGTTGTTTTCTATGAAAACAAAATCACATCTCAGTGGTTCCGCTCAGCGGGTTCTGAAAACGTGAAGCTGGATTTCTGGAACCAAATAATGAAATTGTACATCTGTGCTCCCTCTTCTGCCGAGCACTGGAACTGCAGCTGAATTAAATGAACATGCTCTAGCCAGAAAAAGAAAAAGAAAAATCCATGATTTTTGCTTTTTTTTTTTGAAATAATTATAGACCCTGACTGCTTTCCGGGCAGTAAGCTCCTGCGTAGCTCGCCTAAGTGACCTACAGGTGATGGATTCCCCACAAGAGGGCTGATTACATAGCAGTCTTTGGGGTACTTTTTCTTCCGGATAGAAAAAGAAGGGACTTTTTCTTACATGGACTCAGACCATGTCCTATTTTAAGAGGTTCAGAATTCCTTGAGAATGTTGCACGGCACAATGGCTCTGTTCAAATAAATCCACGCACACACTACACATCACAGTCCTTCCAGCCCTTGCTTCTAGGGCTTTTAAAAGGCAGGGCCACGCCAGCCGCAGTCACGTGGCCACGGTCAGAGCCGAGTGCGGGGACGGCTGTCTATGGCAGGTGGGTGGCACCCTCGATCACCTTGTGGGTCACCAGTCGAGCTTCATGGCTTTCTTGCTCCACACGTATTTCCCTCCTCGCTTAAGGAACATCTTCTCATCAAACCCGCTGAACTTTATAGCCTGCTCCACACCGACGTCCAGGATGGACTTGGAAGGGTCTTTGCGTCCGTTTCTGCAGTTTAAGAAGCGCATCTAGGAAAGGCAAGCCAGAAATGGGCATTTTTCATTTCGTTTGTCCTGTAAAACCCCATCAATCTAGAACACTTTTCCTTATTCAGATCATCTTTCAGAGAGTGAAGGAGGGCTCTGGCCAGGCGCAGGGCAGCATGGGCCCCACGTCCCCAGCTCAGCCCCTTGCTGGGCCCGGGCAAGGCTGATGAAAGGGTCTGGAAGCCATTGAGCACAGCAGCGCATGCGCGTCACTGAGCCCCTGCATCCCATTCGCGGGGGAGTGGGAATCCGGACAAACTTCTCCGAAGACTGACCTCTGAATTTTGTTTGAAATTTCACATCGAGGGGATACCGGACAAAAGCAAAGAAACAAAAAACAATCCTGTCTCTGGCAAATGCCAATTTTTTTTTTTTTTTTTTTTTCTGGAATGTAGATTGCGTGAAGTCTGAGTCTGAGCCCTAACAAAGGGTTTCTATGCGGAAGCAAGAGACAAGGGCGAGAAATGGGCTACAGAGGACTCAGGCACCTAAATGAGCGAGAGCTGTGCTCTTTGTCCTGCGTCCTGCTGGGCTCCTTCTCATGCAATCTTCAGTTTTCCGTCATTGGTCCCTAGCCTTTTCTACTCAGGGTCCCGGGAGGATAGATGGGGGCCAGGGAGATAGCTCAGTAGAATAAGTGCTTGCTTGGCAAACTCGAGGGCCTGAGTTCAATCCCCGATTCCACAAAAAAAAAAAAAGCCTTTCTACTCTGCAGCCAGGAATGAAGTCTTCCTGGTTCTTATCACCAACCCTGAGCATTTTGTCAAAGATCAAGTAAAATATGTTCAATCAAGAAATCATTAAATTATCCAAAGCAAATATGGCTTAATTATGCATTTTCCAACTACAATATGTGGAGACCAATGAGTTTGTTGATGAGAAACATTGGTCAGAATCCCTAGACAGTCGTGCTACTTTGCACCCCAAAAATAATTTTTTTAACTTGGGACTCCTACTAATAAACCAAACATTTCCATTATTATTTTTCTCTTTATACTCTCTAAGAAAGCTCACATGTGCAATAAGTGAAATTGCTTCAAGCATCATTGACTAACTCAGAAATAACAAAATAAAAAATTATAATAAGCATTTGTCAAAACAATCCAATTTCATTATTGTTCTCATGGCTCTCCCTGGGGCTTACTTCCTTAAAAGAAATATGTCTCTGAATAGAATTATTTGTCCTCTGCTAGAAATGCTGCTCAAGGTTCTAAGTTTAGAACAATAACAATCAAAAAAAGTAAAAAGGAAAAAAAGAAAAGGGAAGTGGGTTTTTTGTTGTTCCAACTCTGAGAAGGGTGGAGTTTCCCCTTTCCTTTAAAATGGGATGGGATGGGGAGGGACCATGTTGGCTTAACATGGAGAAAATCCATGTGGCTCTCTGGATCACTCTCAAGAAGAACACAGTCCAGAGATACGGGCTGCTAAAGATTTGGTGACCTGAGGTATGAGGTCATCTATTGCAGGAGAACCTCCAGCCCCCAACCACAGAACAGAGAACTCTGCCGCGGTATTGGATCCCAAGTGACATTTCCAAGAGTTGACCACATGGGGACAACATCCAGAAAGGAGAAGCTACTGCCAAGCTAGAGGCTTGACTCAGGCTAAAATCTGTGGAAATGCCAAGCTCAGAACTTGCCCTTGTGCAGCCAGGACTCCGTTGCATTAAAAAAAATAAACAACAACAACAAAATTACTATCAGTCAAGCTATGGAATCCCCTATAAACAGGACAAACTAGTACTAAATGATTATGTTCATTTTAGCTCTGGCATGGCTACTTAATTAGTTTTCCCCAAGGGTTATTTTGACACTCACAAGAAATACTTACATATTCATCCAGAATGAGATAGGAGTCCTTCATCTGCAAAGAAAAACATCAGGTTCAGACTTAGTTTCAAATACTGCCCTCCATGCAACTGTCTATTGTCGATGTTTGTGTTTTTCTATTCATGCTAGAAGCCTCCAGGCGAGAAATGTCACCAGGAAGGTATGTCTGACAAGGGCTCCCAGGCCTTCTATGTTCCCTCCAGCTGTCACCATCATGGCCCTGTGACTGTCACTACTGTCTATCCACTTGAGTTCCCTTTTTTCTAGTGTACAATCCAGAGCTCTCTTTAATGCTATCACCAGGCACCTAAACAGTGGCTTTCCCCTGGAATTCTAGTATCTCCTGTTATGTCTTGAGATTAGTTATGCATTCGTAGGAACACTATCCCTATCTACTCTTCTAGGTACAGAAAGGGAAAATTCTTTTCTATCAAAGGCCAGCTAGTAAATGTGCCCAGTCACAAAGCCCTCAGAATCTCTATGACAGCGGACACCACCAAAGCCCAAAAGCCACTACGAAAGGTATATAAGGGCATAGGCACTGACCCATTATGGGCCCTACAGACTGAATGTTATGGTTTGTGTCTAGGTGTCCCCCCAAAGCCTCATGCAGTCACTGGACAGCTTCTGGAGTTTGTGATTAATTATTGGGGGTGTGGATGCTGCACCTGCCCTGGGGCAGGTAATTTGCTCTACAGTGTAAAGAGGGGAGAGAGTCCGGCTAGCTGCCTGAGCTGTGGCCACTCCCTTTGCTCTCTTGCTCTTTGCCCTGCCATGAAAGGTTGCTCTCTGCCATACGCTGCTTTGCCTTGGAGCCAGCTGAGTGTGGACTGAAACTTCCACTAACTGCGAGATAAATAAATCTTTCCTTCCTTCACTTTGGGTGTCAGGTATTTGTCTGAGCAACGAGAGAAGAGTAACTGAGATGCTGTATTCCATCTTGTTACCATGCTCAGCTGGTATCAGGTATGGAGTCAGGCAGCAGGCTAGGCCTGTCTCTTAGCCAGAGCTGGCATTTCCTGTACACACCAGTCCCAGGCCTTCTGTGAGCTGTGGATGGGGTAAGGGATGAGGGTGGGTGATGGGGGCAGCAGCAAGAGCACCTGCCGGAAGCTGCTCTGTGTGTGCTTGGAGCAGCCCCAAGGGGCACAGCACTGCATGGCCCACGGGTTTTGGGGTTACCAAAATCATGGATTGGCTCAGCTGCCACTCAAGTCAATGGTCACTTAGGATTTGGGTTCCTCATGTGGAAAATGGGGAAATAAACCAGGGCTGGGGAGCATCTGTGAAAAATCCACAAGAGCAGAAGGGCTGAAAATCTTTCTGCAAAAGGAGAGGCCTATCACATAGTGACATTTGTGAGAGCCTGCTCTGCATTCTTTGATCTCACATTAACTACATAATTAAGACTAAAAAAGCAATAGGGCAGAGTCCCTTTCACTTCTACCTGCTCCTTCTCTTTGAAGGCCACCCTGGCTGCCGGGGCTGCTCTTGCTCGTGCGAAACTCCAGGAGCTTTCAAACTCCAAGCATTACTAAAAGCTTCTGAGGCCCAAAGCACCATGGATTCGCATCTGTGGAATTTCTGCCTCCGTGCAAGCATTATGGGGGAGAGCTTTGCTGTATGCATATTTTTGGGTGACAGATGGGAGAATCTGTTTTTAAAATACATTTTTGCATACTGAGGCTTATATTAGTTGCTTTTGAAGTCCTAAAGCTTATAAAAGTAAACACAATTGACTACTAATTCTGTACTCCATGATAGTCATGGCAGTATTACAAGGACATCTTTGGGACCACCCTTACGAACTTCAAATTTATTTTCCATACTAATTTTCATTTCTCAGGTCTAGGTGTCTAGCTCAGATAGAGAGAGAGAGATAGCTCAGTAGAATAAGTGCTTGCCTGGCAAGCACAAGGGCCTGAGTTCAATCCCCAGTTCTGACGAAAACAAAAAGCATAAAAAAACCTAATTTTCATTTCTCAGTAAAACTGATATTTAAAAAGTCCAACTTAAAAAAAAAAATTTTTTTTTTCTTTTTCCAGAACCAGGGGTTGAACTCAGGCCCTTGCGCTTGCCAGGGAAGCACTTATTCCACTGAGCCATCTCCCTGGCCCCTCCAAAATAATTTTCATTGGTACTTAATATTATGAGAACTTATCCTCAGCACTTAATATTCTTTGCAATATGCTTTTCAGTCAGAATTAAATTTCATTCTATGAATGTACAAATTTATCTGTTATTCTTCTAGGCTACTATGTATTCACTTTTTTGATGTTACTGCCTTTTT